ACAGTCATCTCTGGATGGTCATGCAATGGAATCACTGAAGATGTTGGGAAGCAGAAGATACACATCTGAAAGAACAAAAAAAAAAACATATAATTAGATTTCTTGATTATAGCATCCAGTAACAATCTTTAAAGACACTTACTGTAAAAGTATCACACTCATGAATGTCTAAGAATGTAATCGGCTGAGCCCATCTTCCAACTCGGCTAACCCCAGAAACTCCATAGCCTCTATCATCATCTTGAGCTTCCTCTTCAAGCCCAACATCACCAGGACTCACTGAATCTGCAGACAAGAATGACCCAAAACCACATCTCTGCTTTTAAACACAAAACATCCCCAAAGTTTCTACCTTTGACCACAATGAAACCTAAAAATTAACCAACCCTAATAATTCCTTTATGTCCAATTCGATCAAACCTAACCTTAATTGCAAACCCTAACGGAGAAATCAAACAGAGGGAAAGGGAGAAAACGAATATACCTAAGAGAGAGCAGAGTTTTTGGACAGGAGTGGAAGTAGGAGAAGGAGCTTTCCCAGTGAAAGTGGATTTGCAAAGTTCGTAAAGCTCTTGAACTTTGGGAGGAGGATTCTCTGTGTTGCTCGAAGCCATGTGAAAGTCTTTCTTGTTAACAAGATTATACAGAACCTTTTCACCAGCCTTGAACAGCCTTGAAAACATTCTTTCTTCTTCTTGTTCTTTATGTGTGTGTTGGTATTTGTTCGAATGTTCTTATCCAGGAACTAGTGTGATTAACTTATGTGTTAAAGATGCTCTTATTAGTCTCAAACCATTAATGGATTCGCTGGTATTGACCCAGAAAACAAAAATAAGGATTCCGGTCACAGTGATTGACAAAAAAAAAAAAAAAAAAAAAGGATTCCGGTCACAGCAATACAATAAATAATTGTTTTAAAATATATTTTTCTTAACTAATAATAATTAATCATAGGGTTATTAAAAATTGCTGAGATTTACTATTGGTTTAGGTTATTAGAAATAGATTGTAACAAAAAATTAGGTATGCTATATTAAAATTTAATACTTCCTTCGTTTCATATTAAGTGTCGTTATAGAGAATTTTTTGCGTTATAAAATAAGTGTCGTTTGCGGTTTTCAATACAAAATTTATTAATTTTATTATGTAATTTGTTTTTCTATTTGTTAAAATATGATTAGGTATATATATGAAATATGTAAAATTAATTGTTTTTTTAATTTGTATACACAGCTATAAAATGATACTTATAATGAAATAGAGAGAGTATGTGTAAAAACAGGCTCTGTTTCATTTTCCTGACATCATCCCAATCCTGCATATAAGTTGGAAAGCATCACATAATGCTCAGCCTTTTCTGGTTCTAATACAAATGAATTAGCAGCAATTTTCTTCTCCCATTTCAAGATTTTAGTGGATTCTACACGAGCTGAGCAGAGAGTTCCAGATTCCAAAGTCAGCTTCCAAATCTTTAATGCCTTGTCTAGTTTCCCAGCTCGGCCTAACATGTCAACAACACAAGCATAATGCTTTAGATTTGGCTTTAGGCCAAAAGAGTGTGCTTCATTTGATTCAGATATCTCTCAGCCCTTCGTGGATTGGACCGCTGTGGTTACAAGCCGTTTGACTCATCAGGACTATGACCTGTTGTTCTTTGCATCTTTTCAAAGATGCCCTTATCAATGATCAGGTTCCAAGCAAAGAAGACTATGTTACACTCTTAAAGAATTATCCAAAAAAAAAGCATCACTTGCATTACTGGATCCATACAGAAACACATCCAAGTTTTACGCACAACCTTAACCTAGCCAAATATTTAGTTTTCTTGTATTATAAAGATACCGACAACAGTTGCTTATGAAACTAAAAATTCTTGGGAAAAAAAATCACTAATGGAAGAAAACTACAAATAATTTGAACACAAAGCAGAGTTTAACTGAAGAAAGATGAAACATCAAACATTAAACTGGGGACTGTTGAGAGAGAGAAAAAAAAAAAAAGTATCAAGGCGACATTGACCAATCATATGAGCAATCATCTTTCCTCAGTGGCCAAGTGGTAATCATCCACCTAAAAGCATCTTCATCACCTTGCAATGAGTCAACATAACGTACTGGCCTTTCGATTCCACCAATAACTTGCATCGAATTAACAATTGAGTCTATAGAATTTAGTGCAGTGTTATCAGGCAACTTGACAAAGACGGAAACGTTATTTCTCGATTTCAAACACTGAAGAACCCTGAGCAGCTGACTTTTTGGGGTAGTTTTGGCAATTACCACAAAATTTGATGGTTCACGATGCATCAATGTTTTTTTAACAATCATATCTATAGGTATTCTGATAGCATCCGAATTGTCACCCTCTGAACACATAGACATGTAAAAGCAGTTATAATAATAAAAACTAGAGTTTCACCCGCACATTCGTGCGGGTATATTTTTTATTTTATAAATATATAACTAAAAATTGTAAATATATGATTTATATTTTAGCTTTAACTATAATTATATAATAAGTAAATAAAGAAATACTTATTTTATAAAAACAATATTTAAATTTTTGGTAAGATCTTGTTAGATTTTTTCAACAGATTTTGTTGTATTCAAATTCATTTATTATTTATATATTTATTAATTATTAAGATATTTTAAAAATAATATATATTTGACTGGTTAATGTAACAATCAAAATATGTCAAATTAAATAATTAATGACATGGTCCAATATGACTTTTAAATAGTAGATAAATTTGGTACTTCTCTTTTAATAGAGAAGATGAGTAGGACTTTAAAACTTGTTCTTTCCATCCGTTTTAATTTTATTGTCGATGTAGAGTAAGATTTTCGTTTCAAAATAAATGTAATTTTATAATTTCAATACAAAATTTATTAATTTCATATACTATTCTATTTTTCTATTTATTGAAATGTGATTAGATGTATATGTAATTGTGTTTTTTTAAAAAAGATATATTAAATTAAATGTTTTCTTAATCTGTGTGTAAAAATTCCAAATGACAACAAAATTGAAAGAAAATGAATCTTTCAATAAAAAACATATAATATCAATAAATTACAATTCAATAGTATGTAAAACCTATATAAATCTAAAATATAT